CAAAAGCCAGGAAACGAGAAGTAATGGAGGTTACTCTTCAGTCTGGCATCGTCAGACCCATGCATGAAACCAGAAAAATGGATAGTTAGTGGAATAAACCGAGCGAGTGAGTTACTGTTCCAGACTGATTAGTTGGCTGGTTACTAATAAATATGCTTCTGACCCTTTATTATGAAAGTTAGTTCACAGGAAGCTCTGATCAACCACAGAGCTGCAACCCAGACCGCAGTCACACCGATGCCTCTTAGAAACCAGAGGGGGGAGAGGCAGCAGGGAAAGCTGGGGAAGTGTAGGGAGGAGGGGGCGGAGCCTCCACAGCTTTGCATGCAGCCAATACCTGAATGTCGTATACGGGTTTGGAAGAAGGAATGGCGGCAAACTGTCGGTAGTCAAACTTCTTTGATGACAGGGACTAGAAGGATACCAAATAGGAATGAGCGAGGGGGGTGGGGTGAAAACAAGGAGAGAGAGAACACAGAAGGGTGGGGTGACGTAAAACGAGGAGGAGAAAATGGTGGAAGAGTGAATTCAGAAGGAAAAAAAGGGGCGGAAAGCAGAGAGGCCAATGGGTGAAGCAGCTGATGGAGAGCCACGGACTCATGGCACCGTTTGTTTCTGTATCAAAAAAACCTCCTAAAACCAAACATCTGGTTGTTCTGATACAAGCTCCAGGTTTATACGGTTAGAGCAGAGTTTGTCCTCAGAGATTAAAGGTCAGGTGCTTACCAGCCGGCCTGGCGAGGTTAACGCTCGAGGACTGAGCTCTGTCAGAAAAAACAAAAGTCTTCACGTTAGATTGAGATGGTCACATGGAGATCAGCTCCATTAATAAGAGATGTAGAATACGAGTGTCTCACCTTCCATGGGAGTGGGAGAAGGTGTAGGAGCAGGCGAGGGTGACTCCGTCAGCTGGTCTAGTGTCCCACGCTTCTTCCCATCCCGAGACTTGGCAATGACCATCTGAGCCTTCAGAGCGTCTTGTTCCAGAGACTTCATTCTACACAGGAAACAGCCGTGATCAGAACAACGAGCTGAGGAACGAAGAAGGATCACGTCTGCAGAGTAACGGCTAAGTTTGGGCGCTCCTTGTCCTGGTCTGCTGTGGCGGTTTTAATTCATTATAGGATTCAAAAGAAAAAGAGGAGAGGAGGCATTCCAGGAAAAGGACTACCTACTGCTAGTAGGTTTACCCTCAACTCACTACAGCTTGCAAACACCGCGGGCTGTGTTAGTATGAGTAGCACTACAGGAGAGAGCAGCAAGGCACAAACAAAAGAGTGGTGCAGAGGAAGGACAAGACGGAAGGACAGAGAAGGAACCAACAGCAGCTAGAGATGGAAAAGGCAAAAGGACGTGCAGAAGCAGAACAGAACGAGAAAGGTGCTAGAAGCACTGTTAGTGTTGCTGCGAGTGCTTGCTCGGACCTTTCTGAACGTGGCCGTCTAGCTAAAACCCCAACATCAAAGCACACCCCCATGATGCCGTGCGTCTGGCCCTAGTGGCTGGGGCCAAGGAGCAGACCTGAGCTGCGAGGCTGCAGAGGAGGAGGTAGAGGATTGGGGCTGGGGGGCTGCATCTGCGCCCTGAGAGGCCCTCACACGGGCCCGGTACAGCCTCTTAGCCAGGTCCTGCTCATACTGTCTAACATCCTCCTCGAGGCCATAGGGACTGTGCCCCACAAGGCCACGCAGAGGGGAGGGGGAGGGATGGAGGGAATTCCAGGTATGATAAAGAGGGGAAAGAAAGGCACACAGACAAAAAGAGAAGAAAACCCAAGAATGGAAGGTAAAACACTGAAAAATTAGATCCAGGTTTAATAAAAAGACAAGTTTAAGACATGACATTAAGGACAAGGAGACACACGAGAGAGAGGACGGTTTCTGTGAGACATTTACTTGATGTCTGAAGTGGTTCAGGATTTAAAAACAGATCTTTTCCTCTGGGATATTTATTTTAGGATGTGTATAACTCTTCCCTTTAACACAACAATACAAACAACTACTTGTTATTAGACGTTACAGCGGTGTACTTCCTGTTCATGAACAGGTGCAGGTTTAGGCTCATTCCCGATTTGTGATCTGTTGGTAATTCTTTGATGTTTTAAAGGTGTGTGTGTGTGTGTGTGTGTGTGTGTGTGTGTGTGTGTGTGTGTGTGTGTGTGTGTGTGTGACCCTGATGTCGTTACCGTGCCGCCCTCCACATGGCCCTCTTCTCAGCCTCCAGAGCTCGTTTCTCTGCGGGGGACAGGTCCTTGTCGGGGGCCACAGCCAGCTCAGGACTCTGCATCCGAAGCCTCTCCTGATGCCGTCGTTCCGCTTTGGCCGTGCGGATGGGAGCTGCCGATTCTCCGGGGTACGCTGAAACCAGACTGATGAGACACCCGAAGCGGTGAGGAAGAGCACGTCGACGTTCGCCACGTGTGTTAGACTGAAGTTTGTAATCACCCCGTCATGGAGTTAGGCCTCTGCTCCAGCCTGAAACCGTCCTCCAGGGAATTCCTTTGGGAGTCTCCTTTCCCGTCCACCGATGACGGCCTGCACGCAGAAACGTTTGTGAAATAGTTGAAGAAATTCAAACAGATGATAAAAAGATAGTCTTCCTACCCTGAGCTGCCTCCGTGGCTTGGAGGCGTGAAGCTGTAGTTGGGTGGGGTGGAGCAGTGCTGGGATGGGGAGGATATCGGCTCCACCTTGTACTCTACTCCGTCCAACAGCACCTTTCCTGTTGCCTTCATCTGTGCCACCTGCTTAGCCAGGTCCTCCTCCTCATCCTCCTCATCGTCGTCCATAAGGTACTCCCGTGCCCGCTGTTCAAACTTCCTCTCTGGAAGAAACGACAAGTGTGTCAGCTCACAGACACAGCCAGCTTTTATTTAGATGGAGTTGATGGGAACACTGGAACAGACCTTCCTCCTCCCTCATTTTCTTCAGATCATCCTCCCCCACGAGGGAGACTCGGGGCTTGGGCTTTTCTGGCGTCTGCTGCTTCACATCAATCTCAAAGTATTTCTGCCTGTCCCTGAACGAGCGCTGCTCTGGGCTTCCCCTCCCACCAGGAGAAGGACTCTGAGGGGACACAAGGACAGACAACATTAAGGAATGATCTGAGATCTGGATTCCTGTGAGACCAGTTGAAAATGGCAGCGTTGGTGTGGAGCTGCAGCTACAGACGCCAGATTGTCAGACCAAGAGGAAAGCATAAAACTGAATTGAGTTAGAACCCAGCACCGTTCTGGCTCTTCGGTTAACTCTGGCTGCCCAATTACTGACAGGAGCACCTGGGAGGACCTGGGAGTAGAGAAACCACCACCAATCAAGCCAAGCATATCCCAGCCCAGACGGCCAACGAGGCTCCTCTAAACCGCGGCAAAGGCGATGGATACCTGCAGGTCCACGGAGAGCCTGGAGAGTCGAGGCACTGCTGCCAGGCTCATATAGCCTTGGCGATCAGATGAGAGGGAGGACCGGGGCGAGACCTTGCTAGCCAAACCCTTAACAGCTCTCTCCTGACTGTCATTTTTATCATCAAACACCTCATCGAGCACTTCAGGCTGAAAAGGCCAAATACATCAGCGTTTACATGTGGGGTCCAAGCAGACAGCAGCAGCATCTGTAGCTGGTTCTTAAATGTCAGACTGGGTCAAAAACACGTCAGACTACGCTGCGGAGGCATAAATGAACCCAATCCTAACGAGCATCAACACTTTAACCTTAGAAATTAAACTGTAAACGTGTTTAGACCAAAGCAGCAGAGCTGTGACTAATGTTCCACACACGAGCATATTTACCTCTGGTGAAGGATGTCTAGGGTAGAAATTGTTCCTCCCGCCAAACAGCTCCTGTTGGCAGAGCACAACATGGTAATTGGTAGAATAAGGAGACACTAAACACAGACCGATTAGCAGCTGTTAAACGTGGTGCCAGAACCACACAGATGGATGAATGGTCCCGGTTCAACACCAGTACAGTAACGATGGACGTGAAGCACAAAAACCAACGATGGACACATTCCACAAGTCACAGCACGTCACAGGCCCCCATGACAACAAACAGGCTTTGTTTAGGACAGCCTGCTTCAGACAGGGGAGGGGGGGGGGGCTGGAGCCTGATGAACCAGTCAGCACAGCATGCTTGTGTTGTGACCCGGTAGAGTCCGGTCCTACCTGCGGCGGCTCCAGCACGGCCAGTGATCGAGGCACGGCGGCAAACGACTTGTATGCCTGTTTGACATTCAACGGAAGCTCGTCGGGCGAAGAGGGGGAGGGGGCGCGAGGCTGCGGGGTGGGGGGGTGATGAGGAGTCATGGAGGGTGGGTCCGTATGGTAAAGAGGAAGAGGAGAGGACAAACAGAGACATGGAGCAGAGGGAAGACAATGAAATAAAAACCAGCAGAGTTTTGGACGACTGTGGAGAACAGGTGAGCAGCATGACGGCTGGTTTCAGGTGAAGGAGGACGAGGAATGCAAAGTGAGACAGACAGTAGGGCTCGGGGAGGCGGAGCTAATTTAAATTAGAGCTTTATCAATAACCAGTCCAGTTCTACTGCTTACACAGAATAAAGTCATGATTATTTTAGTTCTGATTCAGAATCTGACGGCATGCACACCCACACCTAAACAGGTGCGGCTCCTCTGATCGTTCAGACACACCTCTAATGTTTACATTTTCCGAATCGGTCCATGATCATTAGGAACCGCCTCGCTGCTGTTAAGACACACTTTAATTATATTTGGTTGTGCAGCCTCAGCGAGCAGCACAGTGGGGTCAAAGAGCAGCCCTACGTGGTGGTGAGGGGTCTTACAGAGGTCTGGGAGTTGAACGGGGAGGGACCATGCTGAAAGGGGTTAGGACTGCGGCCCTCCGGAGTGCCAGGGGAAGTCCGGGGCTGCACGCGCCCAACGGGCTGGATAGCACCAGGTCGTGTCTGCAAAGGAAACAAATGGTGTATTTTAAAGGTGAAAGGGCAACGATGCTGAGCTTCAGACTGAATGACAACTCAAATGAGATGAGTGGATGAAATGCAGAATAAACACGTATGATGGGAACTAATTCATTGTATTTATTGGTAGTGATGGCCAAATTAACCAATTAAATCCTGAGAACTTTAAGGAAGATTAAAAAATAAACAGCATGACTTTTAGTTCTGATGTACTGAAGGTGTTCTTCTCTGGTAAACACACAAAGTTTCCTCCGACTTTCAGACACTCACTGATGAAGGGCTGTCCTTGACTGTGGGAGTGGAGGTGTAATGAATGTTTGCCTGTAAAAAAGAAAAATCCAATCAAAATTGAAATGGGATGCTGAACCAATCCTCGATTTCTACCAAGGGTGCAGCCGATCGGAGCGTTAGCTCATGAAGCTTTTTTAGGATGATGCAGGGCCAAATGAGGACACTCGGGTTCTGGAGTGTTTAAAGATCCCTGCTGTCGTCCTCTGAGATAAAGTCAAGCGACTGCTGGTCAGTGGGGGTTTTAGGGTTGGACTTCCTCTCCAATCAACACACATCCAGTCTGCATGAAGCATCAGTAATCAGCGGGCCACAGAGGAGCAGCCACATGCTTTTCAGAGCTCAGAGCAGCAAACCCCACTTACAAAGCGGGTCTCCCTGCCTGCACACATAGAGCTGTCAGAGGGGGGGTGGCTGGGCTAAATGTGGGAAGGAAGAGGGTCAGCTGTGAAAGGCCTCCTCTAAAGAGCTAGACGTGACTCATGGGAAACGGAAATTAAAAGATGGAATGATGCCGGGCGGGCTGAGTGTTGGTGCAGCTCACCGGTTGGATGGTGGGGGAGTAAGGTGCTTCTCTGATGGGGCTGTCTGTCCGGGTGTAATCAGAGGAAGGTGCCTGGAAGAAAAAACACTTTTAAACACCAGCTTCAGTAAAACGTACAGGTTAGTCGTGTGAATTTATCCATAACAGATGAACATGCACTTTTCTGTGCACGCTGGAGTCTACATTCCTTCATGACTTCTGACCTTCCTCACAATAGTCGGGTCCAGGCTGTGCTCAAAGCCAAAGCATGCAGCAGTTCACCTGGTTGTTAAACAGATTAATATGCATGACTCAGCCAGCAGCAGAGGGAAGTTTCTCCGTTTGCTCACAGACAGGAGCCGTTTGTGTGGTTGTGAGTCGTTACTGAATCATTTCAGGGTTTACTTTACTTGGAGCATCCAAAAACGCTCCGCACTGACTAAAGACTTGATGTTTAGAACAAATAAGATATTACGGGTAGCTTCATTCACTCTGTAAAACGCACAAACCAGAGTAACACAGCATGCTGCCTCCACACTCCACTCAGGCGGCTTGCCTTGCTGAACAACCACGGCTGCAGTTTTCCCTGCGTGCCGTAGCCCACCGGAGGCCCCGACAGAATCTGCTCTCCAGGAGGAAGACCTCTTCCTTTCCGATTAGCCACCAAGAAAGGATTCTCTTTGAAGCACATGGGCTGAGAATCCACGAGGCACTCCTCTTCCTCCTCAGGAGTAAATGTTAACGCGGCTGCTGAGCCGCAGCTGTCAGCGCCGGGGGACGCTCCATTTGGGGAAAACTGAGTTACCAGATGATTATCGTCCTCTGTGAGGGGTTTGTTGGGTTGGCTCAACCCAAAGCCCAGGGGCTCTAAAGGGGCCTGCAGGGGGACCTCCATGGGAGCGACAGAGGTCGAGAACTGAACAGGAGCAAAGGAGAGAGGGAGGACATGTCCTAAAAACTGATGAGTGAAGCTTAACTGGCTAAAACATAAACGCAAACAGAAGTAACAAAAAGGGAAAACATTGCTCCCGAACTCTCCGATAATCCACCATCGTTCAGCATTCTGGTTTTGTTCTGATGCGGTCTGTTTGGTGTTGGGTCTGAGTGAGAATAAGAGCTGAACTCTTCACATCTACAAACTAAAGCACGACTTAAATACGAGCAGAAGGAATTCCTGTCTGGCTTTGTGGATCTATACTTGGAAACCTGACACAGAAACCTCTCGCTGCTATTAGGAGGAACTCACTTCACTAAACCTCCACTGAAGCCTTTCAGATAAGCTTTTCAGGACCCATCAAGGTGGTCCAGCAGGCTCCTTACTGCAGCTCATTAAAGCTCATCAGTGCAGCTGGTTCTAGATACTAAAAATATGCAGCTGTTAAACAGAATCCAGCTGGATTGTTCTGAGCTACGTCACACCTCTGAAGGGTTTATGTAACCCGATCAGAAGAATAAATCAGGTACTGTGAAGTGGCGATGATGCGCCTACACGCTGACTATAATAGTGAGTAATGTGGGGGTCAGAGGGAAGGAATGTGAACCGTGTCCTTTTGGGACCACGAGGGACAGCTGGGGTTTAGGTGTGAGAGAGTAAAGTCAGGCTGCCGGCTGAGCTCTCCGCATCGGTGTGGGAAGAGCAGACCCTCAACGGTTTATGACGGTAGTTTCTATATTTGCTGGTTAAATATAAAAACACACATTTAGCATTAAAGGTGTTCAAGATGAATCATGTTACAGCTCATTTTTTCTATTTAATAGCTCAAAATTAAAACAGTTTGGACACAACCTGAGGTGACAGTAACGTTAAATATCCTCCTAAAAGGTGCCGTTTCAAGGCCCTTTCATTAATCGTCTCAAAAGTAAAGTCACTCTTATCACCAATATTCAGTCAGAATTTAAAAAAAACAACAAAATGATTTAAGTAACTGCTAAAGAACCTCGTGCTGATCTATTACTGAACCACAAACCAATTTTTAGACAGTTTTTTGTGTCTGTCAGCAGTTTTCTATCACAGACGTAGCAGAACCACGTGGAACCTGCTGAGCACCAACAGCTGCAGCTGATATGTAGTTTGCTGCAGTTTTCACTAGCAGGCCAAAGAAACGTTTACATCTAAGAAAGTCACAAAGTGAAATTAACAGAATTAATAAACATTAAACTGACTAAAATATCTGAGCTGGAGCAAAATAAATAAAATCTGACCAAGTGAAGATGAAACAGGCGACTCACAGCAGGATGATCTCAGAGCAGGGCTGTATGTCTGCACCAGCTCAGGACTTCAGGAACTCAAAGATCTTAGACCCCACCCACCCAAGAGACTCCGCCCCGCTCAGAGCCAGATGCAGGTTTAAAATATCACCAAGGCCAGTAGATAGTGAGCAGCTGCTCCCCTCCCCCATCGCACCACCACTCATTCCCAGGACCAGCCTCATTAATCCTCCCGGTGTTCTTTTATCCGTTCTTCATCCCAGAGGACTCTTCCTCCAGTTCTCGTCCAGGTGAGTTTGGTCTCTGAACCATTAAAGCAGCATCTACTCAGCTTTATGCTCTTTAGGGATCTGAGGATCTCTTCAAGGTGAAGCTGGTGTTCTCAGGGTCCATGAGGGTCACGACCAAACATAAAATACCACACATATATGACCTGGGAGAATGACACCCCCCCCCCCCCCACCCCCCCATATGAAACCTGTATAAATGCTCCTCCAGTCTGGTGGGATCTGAACACACAGCAGGACCTACCCTGTTGACTTTCTGCAGACTGGTGGTGGGCAGCGCTGCCAGGGTTTTGTAGTCAAGTTTTAAAGGTCCAGTGCCGAGGTTCTGATAGGAAAGAAAAGAAAATCAAAATGAGGAAAACTATAAAAAGTAGTTTATTTTACAAGAAGCCTGTGTTCCTGCAGATCGATGTCCTGGAACTTTAGACAGACAGTAGCAGAATGATTTTGTTCTGCATGTCGGTCTAGCCACACTCTACTGGAACCTCTGCATCCCTGACCAGTATGGTGGCTTGCCAATCACAGCGCTCCATCAGTTTAGTGGGCCAATCACAGTGCTTTGTCGGTTTAGTGGAGCGACAGTAGCACAAGTGCTCGCCCTGTAATCGGAAGGTTGCAGGTTCGAGCCCCGCTTAGTGTTGCTGTAGTTGTGTTCTTGACATTTAACCCACCTTGCCTGCTGCTGGCGGTCGGAGGGACCGGTGGAGCCAGTTTACGGCAGACTCGCCTTTGTCAGTGTGCCCCAGGGCAGCTGTGACTACACTGTAGCTCACCACCAGGGTGTGAATGACTAATTGTGTTGTACAGTGCCTTGGGGGGTTCCAGGACTCTAGAAGTCACCATATCATAACAGGCCATATCATTATTATTAGTGGGCCAATCTCAACGCTTTATCAGTTTGGTGGGCAGGACGATACAATGGAGCAGAACAACCAAGACATCAACGGCTCGCTTGAAATAGTTTTGGAATTAACTTTAGACTATTTAGTCTAGGGCTTAAGAGCAGATACGGGTCCTTTATTTAGAAATAAGGTGTGTTTGTGTCTTCTTAGAGACTATGGGAGACTGTCCCGTTAACCAAATCCGTAGAGGTACGTCACATTGTTCGTTGTCCAATAGCATGCAGAGACAGTTTGAAAGACAACCGTAGATTCCGCCCCTTGACCGAACTTTCCCTATCACATCTATAGGGTGGCTTGCCAGGCTAGCAGATCGAGTCACTTCAGTGGATGACCACTTAAGCCGAGCGTACACTGTATGACTTTTTTTAGCTGATTTTCCCCTCGTGCGAGAAACTACGAGATCAGGACAAGTTTTGCACTGAACGTTTTGTAGTATACGGGGGTAACGAGAAGCATCTTACACAACGCACGAGCTCCCGATCAGCAATCGTGAGCTCGCACAGATTAATCCCGTGTTTGATGTTTGCTCATTCTTCGTGAGCGGCGCTGCGACCTAAAAAGTATCAGAACCACTCGCGGCTTGTCAGCTATTTCCCCATTAGCACACGTTGTTCGTTTTTGTTGATACACTTTTTTTCCACACACAATGACAAGGATTATCAAGAAAGCGTGTTTTCCATGTTTGTCAAATTAAACTGATTAAACACTGATTTTCTTTCTTTTGTCTTCCTCCTCCAGCCCCCATAAATCTCCGTGTCCTCCTCCTAAAGCTATCCGAATGACAACAGACATCATAACAAAAAACTGCTACTTTTAGCGTATTTGTAGGTTTGACGTGTTTCTACCAGAGGTCCATTGTGAGCACATGACTCGAGAGATTTGCTCTGCGTAGAAGTTTGAGCTGAAGCTGAATGCTGTGAGTGAAAAAGTTGCACAGTGTCCGCCGGGTTTAGCCATCATAGATATCTGAAGCTCAAGTGAGCACTTGGTGGCTAAATTGCAACAAGAAAATCTGCACAACTTTTGCAGTTTTTTGCTACCATGCCCTACACGACCCAGCCATTTATAAAAGTTAACACAAATGTGCCATTTGTGTTATTTTCAGCGTGATTCCAACCGACAATTTGAAGTTACAGGACTTTCCTGAATTAAACTAATTAGTTAGCATCCTAAAGAAAAATAGCTGGCGGCTAAACTGAGTTTTGCACAGACAGCGAGTTCGTCTGAGCATCTGTCTCACCTCCGTCTCCTCTTCTAGCAGGCGAGTTGCCTCCTCACGCTCCAAACGCATTCGCTCCTTCACCATGAGAGGAAGAGGAGAGTGCAGAGAGGGAGACAGCCAACCACACACAGCCACACAGTAATGCGTGGAGGAGTTGAAAGGAAAAGAGAGGATTCACGTTGGAGAGGTGGAAGAAACAACAGCAGAGGAGGTTGGATGATGACATATCACACCAAACACACCAGGATGGGTGAGAGAACAACAAAAGAAAAAGGGAAAGAAAGGATAGAAGTCACACACGTTAGAAAGTAACTATGTATATCGCTATGGGAGCAGAGACAGCATGCAAGGTGAGACCCTGGAGGAACAGTTCTGTCAAACAAACAAACCCAACAAAAGGTGCAGAGAAGCTTCATCCATTCATTCTTCTCCATCTCCACTTCTTTCTCACTCTTTTCCTTCCCCAACCCAAGTTTTAGTTTCACTCACCACTTTCTCCATCTCTTCTCGTTCCCACTGTGAGCTTTCTCTCACCATCTCCGATTCCTGGGAAAAAAGGCGACATTTTAGAAATTTAATGAGCAAAAAGTCAACAGAAGCATCACCAGATCAAAGCTACCCCCCCACCCCCTCCCACACACACACACACACATTCCTTCACTATGGGCAGTCTCCCAAAAGCTAAACTTCACAAAGTAAACAACTGTGCTAGTGCATTGTGGTGACTGGAGCTGCTGCTGCAGCAGAACTCTGAACAAAACATCTGATTCATGTGAAAGCAGAGTGGCTCACACTGGACAACACCAGGCTTCACAGCAGCTGCTGATGGTCAAAACAAAACTTAACACATTCTGTGGATCTCAGAGCTTTTACAATCAGTGAGCTCGGAGACCTGGACTCCCCTCCACAGGCTGACGTTTAAAGGAAACCGTCTCACCTTCTGTATTATATCCATCTCCTCTGGGCTCAGGTCTCGGTCTATGGAGGAGATGCTCTCCATGCTGTTCTTGCGTACAATTCCAGATGCAAATGGGTTGGCGATAATCCCGGGAGATGCCTGAAAATAAAGTCGTCATTTGCATTTTTTCACTGTGAAGGCGTCGGAACAAGCCCCCGCACCGTGAGAACAAACATCTCGGCCTTAAAGCCGATCTTCATCCGCGTATGTCACACGTCACGTGATCAGGAAGCAGAAAATCCATGTGTTAGGAGATCGTTTTGGGCCGCTGCTGTAAAAAAAGCGAGGTGCGAACCGGAAAAGCTTCTGCCGATCACAATTCAACAACGGATTATAAAAGAACGGATAACGCTCGAAACGCGCCGATTCTTCCTGATGTAAGAGGTGAGTCTCCGCTTTGTTTTGGCGTCGACATCATCCTAGCGCGCAACATTCTGTGACTCTAAAAAAAACAACAGTAAAAACGGTGAGAAACGCTGGCAGCGAAGGGCTGTACCGATCGGCTGGCAGCGAATGAGTCAATTATTACTTTGGTTTAGTGATGTCTTCACATGTGATGCACAGGTAATTAATACTAATTGATCTAAGCCGGATAGCTTCACATTTAGCCAGATTTATGCTGAAATAGGTCCAGTGTTCAGACTTCTAACCCTTTCCACTTGCAGCACCTGAATCCTCCACCAGAGGGCATGCAAATGAAGGTTAGTGCAACTTAGTGTTTTCTTAAAGCCTGGATGCTGGTTATCTCAGGGCTCACCTCCACGGCTGTAACTTTGGATGGGTCAAAGCCGTCGCACACTAGCAGGACCAGGGAGTCTCCAATGGCGCGCAGCACTCGTACCGCCTCTGTGTGGGTCATTCCCAGGAGGCTGTGGTTGTTCACCTCAAGGATACGCATGCCAACCTGCAGCCGTCCATCTCGTGCTGCAGCTCCAGTCGAACTCACCTGAAGGCAGCAAACACCAAACAGGTTAAGTTTAAATGGATTGAGGCCTTCAAATAAATCTGACCTTCAGGTGGTTTAAGGACCTTAGAGATGAAGATGCCCTCATCTGTGGGATCAAAGGGGTTCCCAGCATGACCTTTGGCCCCTCCACGGATGCTGATGCCAAGTTTCTCCCCCGGCTGCTTTTGGATCAAAACTTCCTGCATCCCAGGTGGCGAAGGGTCCCTCCGCACCAACATACGGATCTCTTGCTTGTTGGCCAGCAGGGCGCGGACAGCTTCCTGGTGTGTGGCGTGTCGCAAGTCGATGGTGTTCACCTCTAATATCCGGTCTCCCACACGAAGGCCACTCTGACATGCTAGACCTTGAGGAATCACCTGAAAAAACGAGGAACAACACCTGAGAGACTCGACCAAACATCTGGGAGGGGAGAAGAAGATCGACAACTGTTTCATCACGGTACCTTTGAGATAAACACCCCGGGTTCATTGATGCCAAAAGGGTGACTAGCATGGTCGCTACCTCCAACGATGCTCAGTCCAAGAGGACCACCTGACTTCACCAGGACCACTTCCTGTTTGGATTTATTCATAATTTCAATCTGAATCTAACAAAAACAAATCTACTGAACATCACAGAATTACCTACAATAAACACTTGTGGAGTTCTAACACACACGCACACGCAAGCACACGCAAGCACATGCACACACCTAGAGGACACCCTTATATCACATGAAGCCTCCATACCATACACCATCTTCGTTGGAACTGGACAGCATTAAAAACAAGGCAGGAGCCAAACGGTTAAGCTTAGATGAGGTCCGACTCACTGAAACTTCCAGAACATAAAACCAGCGTCTCACTGGATGTGACTGTTGGAGGCAAACTGCGGTTTCACATCTGGACCAGCACGGACTGGACTGGCTGGCGTCGGTCCGGGTGCCAAAAACCGACTGGTTGAGTGCGGAAAAATCCAAGGCTGCCTAGATATGAACGCTGTAAAAGCTACCCAGTTCGGTCCGTGCTGGCCCAGATGTGAAAGCGCCAAAGCTGCCTGGGCTCATCTCAAACCTTTTCACATAATAAGGGATGCAGCTTTGGGTCAGAGACCAGATTGTAACAAAACTCAGGCGAAAAAGGAGACATTTTATGTGACAATGACATAATTTGTGCCATGCGATCCAACCACGTTTAACACATGTTGCTAACGTGTCACAAGCACCAATTCAGAGGGTGTATAACAGAAAAATCACACTTTTCTGTCACCAACAGTCTCAGGCCAGAAAGATTCTGACTTTTTGTAACTGTGAACTCCTCGGGCTCTCACCTCAATAGGATACTCATCCTCCATCCGACCCAGGTGGTTCCCCTGAAGGCCTTCCTCCTCCTGGTCCGGAGAATCCGAGGGTTCTGGGGGTGGAGGGGAGTGTGCTCGTCTCCGGCTCTGACTTGGAGAGCCTCCCGGTGCAGTCGGGTCTCGCTCCACCAGCAGCGCGATGGTGGGAGAGGTGCCGGTAAGAAGAGCTACTGCCTGGTCGTGCTTGGCCTCTGTCATGTCTACACCATTGATCTGGATCGACAGCAGAACCAACCGCGGAAGGGGTCAGCCCACCAGGATGCTCCCAGTGATCATTTAATCAGAACAAATGCATGTTGTCACCCGACTCTGCATCTCATCTCTCAAAACTAAAGGCCAGTTTTTAAAAATCCCTGAAGACCCAACACCACCAGAAGGACAAGAAAAGAGCTGTAATGGGGGGGGGGGGGGGGGGGGGGGGGGGGCTGCAGGCGGGTTAAGCTGGTAGAGATTCACCGAGGGAGAAAAGCAGTAAGCAAGAAAGAATGCTTTAATCAAACTCCCTAATAATATTAATGAAATCATTATGCAGTTACCTTTTCCATCTAACCACTCGCACTTTCCTACTTTTGCTTGCCTTTGTTTACTTAAAAACATAAGATTCTCCAAAATGTTTGTCCTTAGGTCAACAAAGGCAGTCAAAGTTTTGTTCATATTTACATCTGAAGACTACACGGGGATGACAAGCAGAGGTCAGCACTGACCCGACAGTACCAGCTCTTACCACAGCGTAAAGCGCTGCCAGTTACTGCTGCTGTGGTAGCGCCCGGCTACCGCAGCAGCATGACAACACTCAGGCAACACCACACCCACCACCAAGCAGGTGAAGAGGTGCACCCAACACGTTAGAGAGCATGCAGGAAGACAGAAACATAAACAGAAGCAGGAGGCAAACTGCCACAAGGAGAGAAGAAGGTGAACCCAAGACAGATTGCCACAAAGGGTCTGAAGCAGAAACGTTTGTGAAGGAGCAGCATCAAATTCATCGTGGTTATGATGGAAGAAAGGCACAAGCGTTACTAAGACGCAGCAAGATACAGGAGAACAGAGCCAAACGCCATGCAGGAACCCTGGAGCAGGGACGCCTGAACAAAACCACCGACATGTTATGGAAACATTTTCTGACTAAGGAATTTATGAATGAGATGTTTGAGGGCGACCTCTAATCAGAGCATTTTGTTTCCTACATCAGTCGTGATATTAATAATAATAATAATAAACTGAAGAGCCTGATAAAGGAAGGACGGTACTCACAGAGATCACCCTGTCCCCAACACGCAGCGTGCCGTCTCTGTGTGCCGCTCCACCCTCTGCAATTCGAGAGATGTAGATTCCCTAAAAACAGACACAAGACAAGATTTTACTCAGTTAAAAAATAAAAACATTTAAAAAGCTTTGTATGCAACAGGAACACAAAAAGAGGTCCAGGTAATGAACGGTAGGTATCAGTTTGTCTAGAGCAACTTGCTGCCGCGCTGGGATGACCAACTCTACGGAAAACACTTCAGTATCGAGACAGACTTGTTCCAGGACTCAAACCCGAGCTGAACCACTGGCCTAAAACCAGAACAATCAACACACGTGAACACAAGCAGGAGCTAAGTCTGCTGCTGCACCACTTCTGATTACCAGACTGGAAAACAAATGTCGCTGCATCCAATAAAGAGACTTCCCACCTAAATAAAACCTTTCTGACTTCTTTGCTTTTCCTTGAGCTGCAGCAGAGCGCCGGTCCAAGTAGACACCTCACCATGTCCAATTACAGCACAGCTATCCAGTTTCAGGACCTGCTATTCATATCTCTGTCGCCCCGGTGACGACTCTAAACGCCACGATGAGAATACACGGTGCTAAAAGACGGACATCTTTCTCTGAGACGGTGACTGTGTTGTGACATCAATTCCCAGCTTCCAAAAGTTTCCTGTTCCCGACCCAATAAAACATTCCTTTAATTACTCCATGGCCATTTCTTCCATCAGCGCCACCTTTTCCTTAAAGTAAATTAAATCAGTCTGCCGATTTTCTGACATCCAAAACTTTATTTCTTGTTTCGCGTCTCACCGTGTCTCCGGTGCGGTAGGGCGTAGAGGCTTTTCCCCCTGCGATGCTGAATCCCAGACCCTTGTCGTTGCGGATCAGGCAGGTGGACAGTCGCTGCCGCGGCCCGCTGGGACAGGTCTCCAAGTTAAAGGCGATGCCGCTGCTCCGCCTCTCTCGTGGGAAGTAGTCATCCTCAGGCCTCAGCGGCGTGGTGGTGATGGCGTTCTCCGGCTCCACCATGCGTTCTCGAAGTACGGTCATGGAGACGGTAGCACCGGAGTTACGGAGAGCTTCCACCGCAGTGTGATGCTCGGCTTCATGGAGGTCTACCCCATTTACCTAAAGAACAAACACAGAGCCTTCGTGTTCTGATCTTTTTTCATTTACAGAAATATTTTCTACTCAAACTGATTTTTACCTCTAGGAGTTTATCTCCAACTTTCACCCCTGCTCTTGCTGCAGGACCCTCTTCAGATACTCTGGAGATGAAGATTCCCTGAAAACACAAGTAACAACTTTAACATCTAGAACCAAGTTTGACTTCAAGCAGATCAGATACGTGGTCTCACCTCATCATCTCCCTTGTAAGGCGTAGATCCTTTCCCTCCAGCGATGCTGATACCCAGACCACCAGTTTGTCTCACGATGGTCAGCGAGTGCTGAAAATTGGACAGAAGGGTGTCAAAAACATGAATTCAGGAAAAAATATGTCTACAATAACACTGCTTTGCTCATAACCCTGATATCTGTTATTTTTTTAGGTAAGTGACCTCCCTGTGTGTGCCAGTAGGTGGCGCCAGTCAGTCTTGCACTCAGACTGTAAACAGATGGATGGAGAGGAGACAGAAAGCCAACAGAAACCAAAGAGGGATGTTTTGTGCGTAAGAACAGTTTTGTAGAGAGAACCCTCTCAGCGTATCTTCATAGATCATTCATATGGATCATTTATCTGGAAATAAAAAGTTCAGTTTCTTCCGTCTACAGACAGTAAATGTGTGAAATTATATTCAAGATCTATCACGCAACAAAAGGAGCTGGAAAAGAACTGCTAAAAATAGTGATGATAAGATACATCGGAGGAAAAATCTAACGTTTTAAAGTCGACTGTTTAATGAAGCGTCACCCATGTGTGGCGTAGCTTCAGGTTAAGGACCGCGTCTCTTTGTGCAAATGGAAAACGAAGTGGAGGAAGTTGGTACAACCGATTGGCTTCGTAGCACAAAATGAGCATTTATTCAGGAGGATTAAATCAGAGTGAGGCATTAGATGCAGACAAACGACCAGAACGGTGCGGTGCGTCAGAACCTGATGGAACCTCTACAGTCCAAGGTGGAGAAAATTCAACTAAAATAATAACATCTTTTTTTATTCCTGCAAAACAACCACAGTCCTTCCTGGGTTTAATGGGTTGTTATGGAAATACTTCACAGGAATAAAACTGTGTATTTAACCAAAACTGGTCCAAAATAAAAAGGCACTGCGTTAAAAACCAGCTGATTGGGTTCAGTGACGTGGAAGAATTTCAAACCTCCTCTTTTTATAATATTCCAGTTTATTTAAGTTTGGGGACATTTTTCTGCACAACTTCCAGAACAACCTGCCAGAGTGGGGTAAAAATCTGCATTATGACCTTTTGTGTTTGGCCATTTCTCTGATCGCTACATGTCCTGATCTCAGTGTGAATTTCCCGAGCTGTCCACTCCCAGCTCAGTGATGAACTTCTAATTTTGTGGAACAGTTTAATATACATCTTCCTACCCTAGCTAAGCTTCAACAGACTGGCCTTTACTTTATTTTGTGGGGTTTTCTGAAGTAAGCAGCTGCACTTTTTGTAAACAACAGCTGTTCATGTCCTAAACTTTATTAGTTTCCTACTGCTACTATCTGTCATGAGTAGCATTTCCACCAATCTAACCCATAAGATCGTGGTTATTACTGCAGCGGCACCATTCTGACCATTTAAAGGTGTGGTTACTCCTTTATTCAATACGTTTGTAGTGTTCTCTGGTGTTAATCAATGCCTTATGAGTCATAAATAAAATAAAACTATGATGCTCTTGTTTTGAGATGCAGAAGTTAGTTTGTGCACAGATGGGCTGAAAACAGCAGGACTGCTCAATATTATTAATGATATGCACACACCTCGCTTCTGATGAGCTAACAGAACACGTTCGTCCATGGTGCAAAGTCACCATCAAAGAGACACTCCACTCTCTTTCCTCACTGTACAAGCCTTTCTGCGGGGGGGGGCACGTGCCAAAATGGGCGGGGCCACGAATGCCAGTGTGACATAGATATGTGAGGATATTCAAATCCTAGCGTTTTACCGTCTATAACCTATCAGAAGTTAACACGGGAGATTCAATTCAATTCAAATTCAAAAATACTTTATTAATCCCAGAGGGAAATTGATTAAGGGGTAGAAGACTATTTTTATGTTTAGCCTGCATGAAAAACTCAGAGTGACCGATTATAATCAGAAATAATCATTAAAATGTGTTTGTTTCAGTCAACCACACCTTTAATAACGTACCATAGGGATGCTTTTCAAATGTGTTGTCTAAAATCCAACATTTATCATCATTCAAACACAGATAAAGCTACGATCAAAGACAGAGATGCTGCTTGAGCTTCTCATTAACAGTGTTTATACGCAAAACTAAGTTTATGCTTTTAATTTAAAATGATGTAGATGGTAAATAAGAGAAGAGGCAGGGGATTAAGACCAAAATGTTCCTTTGATAACAAAAATGATCGCTATAAATGGAATTTTTAAACACAACAAAGAAAATGACTGAATTTCAGTACATGTAATCTTCTCCTTATTTAAAACCACACTAAAATATTTCAAACTTCTTTTCCTTGTGATGGGTGTAGATTTGGGTTTTCTCCACTTTTTAAAGCCCTGGTTGACGTGAGTTTGGTGAGAGAGGGACAGAAAGACACACTGGATGGGAAAGAGAAGGTACAGACCTCTTCCTCCTCAATTCGAGCAGGTTCAATCAGCAGATTATTGACTTGATCAAATGACACCCCCTGTTAGGACAGGAACCAGCGAGAAGCATGCGTATTAGTCAGGCCAAAATAAAATCCCACTCACACACATCTTTCTTCACTCACTCCATTAACCACACACACACACACACCATCTGCTTGCAGGACCGCCCTGAAGCAGAAGGGACCCTACATTCACTCCCCAGCCACCAAAAGCAAATACAGGCAGAGGTGGAAAGACAAGACCAAGGAGCTGAGCCAGAAAACACAAACACACACGAGTGTGTAGTGGTGAGAGCATCCAAAGAAAAGCAAAAGCTCCCAAAATATAAAGATTTACTCCAGAAGGAAGTCCACACAGATCTATAGTCCTTATGTGAAGATGCTAAAGACCACAGCTGGGTTAGGTTAGGGGTGGGCAATAGGTCTGATTTACTCACATGATATGTTGATTTTTTATATTACAACTAGGAAAAATTTATTTTAATGCCAAAGTTTCTCTTCACGTCTGGAAAATTGTCCAGCAGGCTTGGTGTTGAGAGTGAAAGAAAGAGTGAAAGGGAAAGAGAGAGAGAGAGAGAGAGAGAGAGAGAGAGAGAGAGAGAGAGAGAGAGAGAGAGAGAGAGAGAGAGAGAGAGAGAGGCCAAGAGAATTGAGCAAACAGAGGAAGCACATTTCTAGATAAACCACTAGTTAAAGGGAAATTCCACCCCAAAGTGAAATGTAGTCTGTTGCCATGTTCCCCAGATTTAGATAGGTAGGAAAAAGCACCGTATTTTGTAACCAGCCCAGTCATTCTCCTAATCAGAGAGTATTACTACAAAGCACCGCCGTAAGCTGCTGCTGCAAGGTGCCAGAACATGACGTCGTTAACCATCACTAAGTTAACTCTTAAACACTGACAACATTCACTGTAATGACCGTAAACGGTGAGTTTGGGGGCTGCAGTTCTTGCACCTTGCAGCAGCGGCTTACAGCGGTGCTTTGTCGTGATCTAGTCCTGTTATTATTTTTATTTGCAGTTGGTATGATTACTGAGGTCACAGAGGAAAAAAGGTATCATTATTGAATCGTTTTCATGACTTTTTCACACTTTATGCTAGCTGTTACCATTAATCTACATTGTTTATGCTAAGCTAAAGCTAGCAGAACACTGTCAGATTAGGAGAATGACTGGGCTGGTTATGTAAAGCTTTTTCCACTCACTTAGGAGTGGAATTTCCATTTAAAGGGGAACAGCAGAGAATATCTGTAGGTTAGAATAATTCCCTAATTCACATCGATAAGCTGGTGCTGGTAGTTTATCTAATAAAATAAGGCCGATTAAAGAAGAGAAGAAGAAAAGATCTTTTCTATAGCGCCTCTCAAGATAAAAATCACGAGGCGCTTCACAATAACAAAAAATGTAAACTATAAAAAAGATTTTGGAAAATGATTAAAAATATATTTAAAATGAGCAAAAAATAGACAATTGTGATAAAAAATGTAAAGAAAGAGAGAGAGTGAATAGATAAGAGGGAAATCAGTGGATCCTGAGGAAGGTGGGGAGAGCAGAACAAGGAGAGGGTGATGAAGATCACACCAAAACCATCTTGAACAGGTGAGGTTTCAGCTGCTTTTTAAAGGAGACCACTGAGTCCACTGATCTCAGGCTCAGGGGGAGAGAGGTCCAGAGTCTGGAGGCCACAGCAGCAAATGATCTGTCACCTTTAGTCTTTAGCCTGGTGCTGCACAACCAGTAGGCTTTGATCACCGGACCTCAGGGACCTGCTGGGGGTGTAGGGACTAAGAAGATCACCAATGTAAGATGGTGCTTGTCCATGTAAGGCCCTATAGACCAGAACCAGGATCTTGAAATGAACCCTGAAGTTGACATCTGTTTGCTTTCAGCACCAATGGTTAAAGATCACATATGAAGGGATGTCCTTTCCGTCATTTACAGAAACATAAATAAAATGGTAACTTGAACCTTTCTCTCCAACATAAACAGTTCATAAAGTATTAGGACTACATGGAGCTCGTTGGATCTCATATTCCAGCTCTGCCAATAAACGCTCAGGCTGGTCTGAGTTCAGCCGCACCAACAGATCCACCCACACACACACAACCACAACCACGACAGATTTGGTGAGATGATCTTTGTGTTAAAGGTTTTTTTATAATTGGCATGACAAATCAACATGAAGTCCTAACATAAAGATCAACATAAGCAGCGTATGAGCAGACTTCACTCTCATCATTCATACATAAAAGCGTGAGATCAGCGTTTGAAAAGCAGAATGTGAAACTCCCATTATTTGATGAAACCAGCGGGTGGTTGGTGAGAAGTTCAGTTCTAAACTGTGTTGTAGGAAAAAAGGCCCACTGAAGAACTGTTCGTTGGGAAGTTTTCTCCATAAATTACTTAAATGAGATTTTTTGCTAATCTTTCTGAGAATGTGTTGTTATTGAATGAGATAAAGTTGGTGGAATTCAGTTTAAAATATTAACACCTAAATAAAAAATCCCAAAAAGTATAAAATCTTATAATTTCCAGTATTCTGTAATGCAGATTTAAGTCATTTAAAGACTTCTGTCGGAGTCTGAAACGGGGTTACCTTCACTTGACTGGAGTTGCCTTGATGCCGAAGGTCCTCCAGTTGTTCTAGTCTATGATGGAGTTGAAGTGCACTGACACTCTGCTCTTCCTCTTCCTCTTCCTCTTCATTCTCCTCGTCCTCGGCAGTCTGTGTCGAAGAGTTGAGCCCGTCTGGGCTGAAGCCCTGCAGCAGAGCAGCCACGGCCTCGGGTTTGGGCAGCTTGGTGATTTTGAAGTGCTTTTTGTAGTGCGGCGTGTCCTTTCTGATCAGCCTCTGTCTCTCCATTGGAACAATCGGCCTCTCATCTTCCTCATCGCTCTCTTCATCGTTCTCCCCATCCTCCTCATCCCCACCACGGATGATGGGCTCTTCTGCAAAGTGCACAGTTGGCTGGAGACAGAGCAACCTCTCATTAAGGTTTTGCTTCAACAGTGGCTCCCGTTGCATTTTAATACTCCTGCTTGTATTTTACCTCAATGTACTCCACCTCCATCTCATCCGGGTCCTCCTCTTCCTGAGGGGACTGGCCGTCCACAAAGTCCTCCTTTTGCAAGGCTGCATTTTGCCCGTCTTCGTGGGAGGTGGCTGACAGAGTGCTGTTGGAAGCCTGGGAGTCGTGGCTCTGATTGGAAACGTCACTGAGTCGCTTCTTCTGGAAACAAGGAAATCTTTAACATGTGGAACAAACCAGCAGATACACAAACAAAAGCTTTTGCTGTGAGCCGTAAGAAGGACCCAAAATCAAAAACAGCAACGATGTTCGCCTTTTACCAGGTAAAAACATCTGAAGCAAGTTTAAGTACCGGTGAGTCAGGCGACTCGTCTTCTCCATCAGGTCTGGATGGGTAGGCTTCATTCCTCCTCTCCTCTATCACCTTCTTCATCATCTTCAGCTCACTGGGATGTGGTGTTCCCATGCGCTGGAGGCCCTTAAGAATGGAAAAGATCATTTCAAAACACCATCGGACTAAAATCACAACCTTTATCAAGACGAGATAAAACAGTTTGGACTTACTAGCATCTAAAAACATCTACATTAAAATGTTTGCTCACTCTGCGCTTATCTTCCTCCTCTGCAGCCTTGGTCTCTTCCTGGAACTGAATGACCGACACCCGGTTCAGATTGCTGTCTGTAGAAACGTCGTCCACATTGTTCTGCAGCAGGTTCTCTGAGAAGAAAACAAGAGGGAAGGTTGTCATTTATGTTTAAAAAGTGATTCCATAAACTTCTCAATTCATCTCTGGTTCCTACAAGTCACAACAGAAGGTAAACTGGACAAGAATGTGATTAAAATATAATTTCAAAATAAAATTAAACAGAGAAAGTCCTATATTATTTGAGAATAATGAGGCCTAATGTTCACCTAGGCTTGGTGAAGGCTGCTGTGGTAGTAAATAGCAGGTTAACACTTTCTCTCCAGTTTTCTGGTCATCTTCTGTCTGGAACTTGAGCATCGGCTGCGACTGGTTCTCTGCAAGCCACATGGCCTTCAGGTTGAGGTTGGTCAGGGTGAAAGGCAAGTTTTGTAATCTGCACAAGAACAGGGAGTAGAATGGATGAACCAGGTTTCCTTTTTGAGGAACAGAACAGGAATAAAATGTGAAACACGTTTATATTAAAGCTTCTGGCCTATTAGAAGGAAGGGTACCGGTTTCCGACCACATCCAGCACATGCAGCTCAGTGGCATCTGCGAGCTCAGCAGGCAGTTTGCCCAGGCAGTTGTCCCTCAGGGAGAGGACACTGAGGCTGGTGCAGCCACCCAGCTCTTTGGGAACGCTGTTCAGGCGATTTCGGTCTACATTCAAGTTTGTCAGCTTCTTCAGCTTGCCCAGCGAGCGAGGAAGTGACTGTGAGGAGGACAAACGCTTTAAATAAACTTATTGAACGTTAGTGAGTGAATCCCAGCTGGGTGGGTGTTTGGTGCTGTACCTGTAAAAGATTCTCCGTCAGAATAAGTTCTGTGAGGTTTTCACACTCCCCTACTGAGTCAGTCAGGTGGGTTAGTTGGTTCTGGTCCACCTTCAGGATAGAAAGTTGTTTCAGACAGCCTGGAAAGAAACAAAACATCTTAAATCTAACCGAACGTAAATTTGATCTCAACACTGTTTGTTCATGTGAGATGAATCAGACATTTTATTCACTTCTATTTTCTTTCCAGTAGAGGGCAGTGCTGATTTAAACAGAACCAAGAGCCTCAGCACAGAGATTCCTCCAGCAACACTACAGAATGGTATTTTCACAGGTTTAATTTGTACAGCTGAAGCTGCGGTGATCCATTTATCCAGCTTTTATTAAACATATTATTATAGTTCAGCATCTAATTCAGCTATTTCTCACCAATGCCGTCTGGAATGATTTTTAACATGTTCTGTGTGAGCAGCAGGTCGGTGAGAGCCAGCAGGCCGCTCAGCTCTGAGGGAAGCTCCACCAGGCGGTTCTCAGAGACGTCCAGACACACCAACCGCCGAAGGTTCCCCAGCTCCTACAGACACACAATAAATCAACACTTTATTATGAATAATTAAAATGAATGTCTATTGAAGGGTTTTTACTGGAAACTCCACTTACTGGTGGTAGTGAAGACAGCTGGTTACGGTCTAACCAAAGCTCCCTTAGATTGGGTAGAGCACCGAGTGTGTCAGGCTACAGATAAAATCAAGCAGAAGAAAACATTTAAATTAAAAAAGGAATATGTGGGCTATTTTGGTGCAGAGTTAAGAAAATCAGGTCTAAAAGTTAAAAGAATCTACTCCATAGAAAATTCTTTAAGACAAACTGAAACAAATACATCTGCAGTGGTGTCTGGTAACTTGTACTCTAGGGGGAAAAAAGCACCAGTGTTTTCAGGAACTAGAAACGAGCCAGATCAAAGCTGAGCTAAACACGGCAGGATTTTGACTCATTTCCTGATATTTAGACATCGCGCCTCGGATTGGATAACAGCAATGAGACTCTACCACTGACTCCAATGTTGATGTTTTATCTCCACAAATTACATAAGCCTGGAGGAGTTCTGCTGTGTGGTGGAGTTGCTAATGCTAACAGTTAACTTCTGCTAGTTGAGACGGTCTCTGCTGTTTCCTGGACGCTAAACCAACAACAGCCTTCCCCGTTGTGAGTCAAGATGGGTGAGTCCATGAATGTTAAGTGACAGTGTGACGTAGATCTGTCAGGCTTTTCTAATCCTAGAGTTTCACCGTCCATTTTCTATCAGAAGCTAATGCAGGAGATAGGTGTAGGAGACTATTTTCATGTTCAGCCTGTATGAAAAACTGTTTATAATCAGAAATAATCATTAAAAACTGGCGATAGGGAGCAATACATACCAAAATCGTTGCAAGCAAGCAGGATTTTTGTGTTCGACTAAGACCTTACCAACAGATGGCAATTAGGGTCAAAAATCCCTGGAAGCATAATTTTTGAACGGGAAAATGACAAGCACATCCGACTCTCTTTCATTGCTGTCATTGAGTGAAAAGGTAAATGTGTAAAACAATGTTTATGAATGGTGAAGGTTTTTTAATTACTTGTTACAAATCAGTAAATGTGTTTAGTCCATTAAACCCTAATCCTATTAATCAAAAGTCAAAAATATCAGATAACTCTCCTGGCTAAACTGTCAAAAGTGCAGACAAAGTTTTGTTGCATTATCAAAAGTTTGTTCTGCATCTGCTCTCCAATGGGTTCATGAGGAAATGTTTACTGTCCTGCACGGATAAGAGGGCGTTCCCGGGATAAAAGCAGTTCTCAGTTATGATAAACCTCCTCTGCTGGTTTGATGAAGTAAACGTATGGATTGGGTTATAATTACTATAGTTGGAAACTCATCATACGCGTGCGTGCCACTCTGGCTGCACAAACATGAACTTGTGACACAGTGGCTTGTCTTCTGGGAAGTGAAGAGATGAAACAAGGATATGAGCACAAACCAAAAGTTCCAGTTCATTGCTGCCGAGGTCCAGCTGTTCCAGTTTCACCAGGAAGGACAGTGACCTACAAAATGAAATAACACAAGTGATTACATCACATGAACAACTAATCTGATTTCACTTATTCAAAAGTGATGACACGCGTCTTTAAAACCTATCCTGCTGAAGCTAACTGAATTATATTTCACTGATCAAAAAGACAGAAAGCAGATTTTAAAAGCAACAGTAGTACCATGTCCTCACAAGAACCGTAAGCATGTTCAACACTTACGTGGGCAAAGACTTCAGCAGGTTCTCTCTCAGCTCCAATGTCACCAAGTTAGCTAGACTGTTGTGGGAGTGGCAGAGGAAAGGAGGAGGAGGAGTTGGCAGGAGATGAAGACAAAGGAAAGACATGTTGGTTAGTCAGATGGCAAGTCTGTTGGTCTGGCATGGTGAGGGGCTCCTCCATCTGTCTGAGGGCTGATTGGACTGGACTCCAAAAGTTTAGCAGATTTACATCCAGTCATTATTTTCTGGGGCATTCAGTAAAATACATCTAGATCTTCATAAGATATTTAAACTGTCACAGGCAAAAACATAACAGATAAAGTCGTCATCATCACACACCGGTGAAATTACATCTCCACATTTGACCCATCCCTGTTGGGAGTGGTAGGCTGCAGCAGTGGCTGTGCTCGGGGACCATTTGGTGGTTTAACCCCCAATCCAACCCCTTTAAAGCTGAGTGTCAAGCATGGAGGTATTGGGTTCCATTTTTAAAGTCTTTGGTATGACCTGACTGGGATTTGAATCCAGATCTCCCAGTCACTAATACCACGAGGCCAACGAGAAGGTGTTATCCTTGTTTTAACTTTCAGCAGCAGGATGAATAAGTGACCATAAACCCTGTATTTATATTTACATACGTACTTTCCGATGTCGTTGGGTAACGTTTGTAACGACACGTCGTTGAGTGAGAGGTGCGCCAGCGTTCGGAGCTGAGTGAAACCCTCCGGTAATCTGTGGCAGAGAGATAGGAGACATTCTTGAGCTTTTGTTGAATCGTTCCCATCTAGATGTTCTTTAAGTCTACTTGCTAATCACGTTGATGTTTTTCCTCTGGCAAACACAAACAAATCTTAGATGTTGCAGAACGGTGCAACAGTGACTTTATCCAGGATATTTAAGAGGATTCTAGTTGTGAAACTGCTACAGATCCATGTTTGTTTTGGGAAGCAACATGGGAACATCTGCTCCAGGCACAATATTTTCTTACAATCCAAACTACGTCCAGCATCACACCCTACATTCTTATTCTAGACAAGCACAACAACAAGGCATCCTGCAAATACTACTGCTGCTTGAGCTGGCAAGGCAGACTATTTGCATTCTGAGAAAGTGCTGGTGTGCAGCAATTCATTTACCTGGTGAGGGGGTTTCCACTGAAATCAGCAATCTCCAATGCCCGGCAGAACTTAATGCTCTCGGGGATCTCAGGAATGTCTACACAGAAAAGGGGAGAGGGTTTTGTAGTGCTGGGGCCCGTGATACAGACACATGGTGAGAAAGCGGTATTATATCATTTTAAGTTGCTTGTAATCATCCCCAGATGGTTACAAACAAAGAAAACACAGAAAAAAATGTTATCAGCAAGCTTCACTACAAATAATGTGGTCAATGCATGGTATCATTTCATATTTTGCAGCACTATGCAACTACATTTGTACAGGTAATTGAATTTTCCCATCTAAAGCCAGATTAAGCCTGGTTAATCCCTACCTCTTTGTCTAAAAGCATCCATCATGTTCTGTTCATAGCAAAAAGCATAACTGTCATAAAACACACACTTGCAAAAACAATTAACATGCTACGTTTAGTTCAAAAACTTTGCTACAAAACAAAAAACGTCATTTTTCATGCAATCCTCAAATTTATTAAAATTCCAGAACAGATAAGATGACCCCTGAGATTAAACTGTAACAAAGCCCCATAAATACTTCAGTGTTTTCCTGGTTAGTTTCATGCATGCCATAATAAAAAGGACACAGGAAGCAATCCAAGCTTCCTGATCAGAGGAACGTTCAGCGCTGGATTTTGCAGGTGCATGTTTAGAAATCCCTACAGAGCAAAGCAGCCCTCCACACTGATCTGGCTCTGAGTTGCACTGCAGCAGGAGCAGGGAGGCATACAGGCAGACAGATGGGAAAGGCTCTTACAGGCCGCTGCACACTGCTCCAGTGTGGAGCTCAGCAGATGTCTCATATTTGCCTTAAAACATCCCTGCAACCCAGTATCTGTATTTATGAGCAAGGACACAGAAAGGGCATGGTGTCTGTGCATGTCACAGCGAAAATCTGGTTCGTATCAAGTGCTGAGCCACTTTTCTTTTCTTCAAGGCACTGAACGTTCTTTAGATGGGTCAACTCAAGCAGCATGTTTCCTCCTCAAAGTATTCCAATTACTTATTAACTAATGGGATAAACAAGAGTTCGGGGTGCTCAAAAGAAGGAAAGGATGATTAGAAAGAAAAGTACCATTTCTGGAGATGTCCAGCTCCACCAGCTGCATGAAGTTGGCCACCTCAGGAGGGAGTCTCTGGATCTCATTGTCACTCAGGCCGAGCTTCCGTAGGTTCAGTAGTCTGAAGAAAGCCTGTGGAGATACAAGAAGGTGCATTTTTAAATAAAATGTAACGTTTCTTCACCCTCTGGAAAATTCTCCAGCAGATTTGATGTTTATCAGGAGAAAGGTGCAGGGGCAGAAGACAGAATCAACAGTACAACAGAAGTTAATAAGCATTTAAAGACAGCAAATAAAAGTCAAGCAGCTTGTTTCCATCATGATAATAACTACTGGATATACCATTCAGGTGTGGACTAGATGTTTTCTTGTACAAACGTGTTTTAACTACAATTAGTTACATTTTGAACAGAGATGGAACAGTTGTAGTTAGGCTCAGACTCACCAGCGACTATTAAGCATGCTAATACATGCTACCACTGGTATAATGACTGCCAGGGCTCAACGTCATTTCCAAAATGATTATTAAGAAATAAAAGGTTTGTAGGATGGACATTTGTTGATTCATGTTGAGGAATTTGGTCTTTGTGTTAACTGGTTTATTCTGGTCCCTGATGCTGTTTGTTAGCATGTGTCACACAGTGGTCATTAGGCAACAACACCAAACATCTCACCAACTTTCTGCTTAATTAATGGACAACTTGTTTTTTAATCTCAAGGGAATGAGATTAGATCGAAGTGCATATGTTCCTCTTTTACACCAACTGTAGAGCAAAGACACAAAACATCCTGTATATTCTGGAGGGCTTTATCTACAAGTGGTTCTGAAAACATTCCATCCACATATTCCCATTTTAAAAAACTCTTTCCCACTATGGCAACGGCTGCCAAACACAGTGGCTTTCGTTGAATCTGAGGAGAGCGTTGTGTGGCTGCAGCTCTGCCAAGTGTTTCACAAGAGCTTGGTTGTTGGACAGGACAGCACTCAGCAACATTCCTCCACTAGCTGATGCAGCCATGTGGGTCTGTGCTGTTCAGATGGACCAAAGAACAGCAGGAACAACACGCTGAAACGATGTTGTTATTAACCCCTCAATCAGAGCTGGCTCTGTGGCCCACAGAGGATCTACTGTCTGAGTTATCAAAACTTCGGGCTTTATCAAACCAATGAACTGTTTCTGCCTACAAGCCTGGAGCAGATATCTTCATTCTCAATTCCTCAGGCTATCAGCAAAACATTCTGCTGAAAAAACACTGCTTCTTTCAGTAACCAGAGATTCATTTATTACTCTCACACACAAAAATTAATAAAATGCCTAATCTTTCCCTCCATCAAGATTAGTACAAAAACAGAGAACTGTTGCATTAACATGTACTAAATTGTTACAAAAATGTCTGCTAGATACATAAACATAAAAACACAAAATCTTCTGATTTGTGCTGTACATGTTCTGTCTGACAGAAACATAAAAACACAACGTAGAACGGTGGGCGACAGCTTCACAATCATGCTGCCAAAGATAAGACGACTGTAGTTCAGCTCCACCCTGTTCTTCGATGACTGACGTTTCCTGTTTTTAACTATTCATGTGTTTAGGCGGAAGGGGCACAACAGTTCTTCTTAAAATAGGTTCACTTTTCCACTTCTTTACAGTAAAATATATAAACATGTTATCAGTTCAGCCCAGCTTACATTTTGGGATACAAAGCAAAAAATATGTCTTGCTCTTAACAGATGTAAGAGTTACAACCGCGGCCCTAGCAGCACTCTGGCTGGCCAATCACGGCTCTCTATAGGGGGTTTCAAATCAATGGGTCCACAATGGTGGGCCAATCACAGCACTTGTGCCACTTTGTGGGCCAGTCAAGGCGCTCTACTGTATTTGTCTGGTGGGTGAGATGATGCGACGGAGTAGAACAAGATGGCAACGGCTCATTTGAAACAGCTTTCACATCGATTTTGGACTACAGGTCCTTCTCAAAAAATTAGCATATAAGGACAAAGTTCATTTTTTCTGTAATGTACTGATAAACATTAGACTTTCATATATATTAGATTCATTACACACAACTGAAGTAGTTCAAGCCTTTTATTGTTACTAATATTGATGATTTTGGCATACAGCTCATGAAAACCCAAAATTCCTATCTCAAAAAATTAGCATATCAGAAAAGGTTCTCTAAACGAGCTATTAACCTAATCTTCTGAATCAACTAATTCACTCTAAAGACCTGCTAAAGATTCCTGAGGCTTTTAAAAACTCCCAGCCTGGTTCATTACTCAAAACCGCAGTCATGGGTAAGACTGCCGACCTAACTGCTGTCCAGAAGGCCATCATTGACACCCTAGAGCAAGAGGGTAAGACACAGAAAGAAATTTCTGAACGAATAGGTTGTTCCCAGGGTGCTGTATCAAGGCACCTCAGTGGGAAGTCTGTGGGAAGGAAAAAGTGTGGCAGAAAACACTGCACAACGAGAAAAGGCGACCGGACCCTGAGAAAGATTGTGGAGAAGGACCGATTCCAGACGTTGGGGGACCTGCGGATGCAGGGGACTGAGTCTGGACTAGAAACATCCAGAGCCACCATGTACAGGTGTGTGCAAGAAATGGGATACAGGTGCCACACTCCCCAGGTCAAGACACTTTTGAACCAGAAACAGTGGCAGAAGAGCCTGACCTGGGCTACAGAGAAGCAGCACTGGACTGTTGCTCAGTGGTCCAAAGTACTTTTTTCGGATGAAAGCAAATTTTGCATGTCATTCAGAAATCAGGTGCCAGAGTCTGGAGGAAGACTGAGCAGAGGGAAATGCTACAATGCCTGAAGTCCAGTGTCAAGTACCCACAGTCAGTGATGGTCTGGGGTGCCATGTCAGCTGCTGGTGTTGGTCCACTGTGTTTTATCAAGGGCAGGGTCAATGCAGCTAGCTATCAGGAGATTTTGGAGCACTTCATGCTTCCATCTGCTGAAAAGCTTTATGGAGATGAAGATTTCATTTTTCAGCACGACCTGGCACCTGCTCACAGTGCCAAAACCACTGGTAAATGGTTTACGGACCATGGTATTACTGTGCTCAATTGGCCTGCCAACTCTCCTGACCTGAACCCCAGAGAGAATCTGTGGGATATTGTGAAGAGAAAGTTGAGAGACGCAAGACCCAACACACTGGATGAGCTTAAGGCCGCTATCGAAGCATCCTGGGCCTCCACAACACCTCAGCAGTGCCATCGGCTGATTGCCTCCATGCCACGCCACATTGAAGCAGTCATTTCTGCAAAAGGATTCCCGACCAAGTATTGAGTGCATAACTGAACATACTTTTTTGAACGTTGACTTTTTTTGCATTAAAAACACTTTTCTTTTATTGGTCGGATGAAATATGCTAATTTCTTGAGATAGGAATTTTGGGTTTTCATGAGCTGTATGCCAAAATCATCAATATTAGAAACAATAAAAGGCTTGAACTACTTCAGTTGTGTGTAATGAATCTAATATATATGAAAATCTAATGTTCATCAGTACATTACAGACAATGAACTTTATCAAAATATGCAAATTTTTTAGAAGGACCTGTATTTGGACTTGGGCTTTATCAGAAATGTGAGCAGATAGATGTATTAAAGTCATTAATTTAGAAAAAGATGTATTTTCCCCATCTTCAACAGTGGATCACCTCGTTTACAGACATCCATTGCAGTGAGTATGTCATGTTGTTCGTTGCCCAGTAGCATGCAGACATCATTTGAAAGACAACGGTAGAATCCGCCCCACAACTGAGACCCGTCAATGCTAAATAATATATTTATTAATTTTGGTTTTCCATGCTAATGAAACTAATCATTTTCTGTAAATCCATATTGTTTATTTCTGTGTTTGGGATTGTTCATTACCCAGTTGTAATGCCAAAGGAAGATTGGACTAAAAGTGTTACATTTGACTTTGGGTGTAGAGAGGAGTTCATTGAACCAACTTGATAGCAGTGTTTCTATTAGATTAGGTCTGGGAAATGTCCGGGAGGTGGGAAATGTGACAGGAAAAATATGCTGACATGGTCCTTTAGACTTTACTAAGATGTCACATATCGTGACCTTTTTGACAGTAAGTGATGTCACTGATCAGCACTAAAAGGGTGTCCACAGCTATAGATATTAATAACATTAAAGACATTTTATTCTGTTGAAGTATGCCTGTGTTTTACACCATGAAGGAGTCATGTTATGAGAGCAGCTCTGTGATGTAAAAGGGGTTGTTCAATGACCAGAGAAACTGTTTATATGGCGTTCTGTAGGAGACCAACTGTAGCAATAGCAAAAAGTTTTCCTCTGTAGGTCGGTCTAGCCATGCTCCAATGTAGCCTCAGCAGGTCCAACATTGGCCTGAGCAGTTTTGGGTCTTTTCAATCACCATGATCTACATTTGTTGGGCAGGTTTAACGCTACAGCTGCGATGGAGGAAAAACTACAAAGATGGCGCGGGCTCAGGATCAACATTCATTAGCGTCAGCTCAGGAAACAGTCACCATTTAAAACGGCTTTGGCATCAACTTTGGATGATTTAGACTTGGGCTTTCTTTGAGGTTTAAGAAGACAGGAGGCACTTACGTCCTTTGTTTTGAAAAATGATGCATTTGCTTCTTTTCTGACAATGTTTCGCAGACTGCTCCACCGATGGACATCTGCAGCAATAAGTCACATTGTTTGTTGATCCGATTGGTCCAAGCACTGTCATATTGTGTGCAGAGACATTTTTAGGGCAATACTTTGGTTTTCTGATGTGCATGAAAATGCACTGACTGACTTACAACCAATCAGCATGAGTTAACTACAAGTCCCACCCAGCAACTCTACCAGGTCATTTCTGAGTACATATCCCAGTGCAGGTTCTTGGTTGGTCTTTTTGGGTCGTGACGGCCCAGTGAATTTTAGGCATGCACATACTACGGTGGGCCGATAAAAACTTACTCAGAAGTTATGATAGTGGAAACAGACCTAATTGACTGCAAGGTACAGGTCCTGGTCTGAAAAATAAATCATAACCCTTTCACCAGTGTGCTTGACTGTTGGTGTGGAGGGTTTGACCTTAAGGAACTGAGATATGTTACTTACGTCAATCAGTCTAATCAATCTAAAATAA